AGAACATTAGCAAATTTGTTCTTGTCATATTTAGTAAGTATGTTTGCCCATATTGAGTATGCCTCGAATGAAGGCAACAAATATGCCATAAGATTTCTGTATTAGAATTTTATTCTCTTCAAATTATTTCTGGAGTAATTATTTTTCTCCTCTGTTTTGTTCTGGATTTTTGTTCTAGGGCAAAAAATCATATTGTAATAAAAATATAATCAACAGATTATATGAACACAGATAAATAAAACAGATATTTTAAACTAGGGCATGTTCAGACATGTAATTTAGATAAGTACTAAGAACAGATTATCTAAACACTTAGTCCATAGTTTAGGCAGTTTTTCATTTTTCTAGATGCTAATAATTATATGACCGCACGGGCTAGATTCGATGACGAAAATTTAATGAAAATAGTCGCTATTTTTGCAAATACAATTAAATTATCTGTATTATATCAGATATATAAAAAGAAGAGTGCGCGTAAGGTTCACACGCGATTGAAGTAAAACTTATTTGCTAGTATTTAAGTAAAAATAAATACATCATATAAAATTTTGAATAATGTTTATTAGTAAATGGTAACACTCATGATTACACATTATTAGTGTCAACCACTATACACATTTATATAATGATAAATCATAAATTATAATAGCATTGAAATATGTATAATACTTAAAACAATAATGTAATTGGTCATACTTCAAATATGACATGATCGGTTTGATATTGTAATTAGCATTTAGAAATGAACCTTACTTTATTTAAGTAATTGCTGATTAATAATTTTTTATATTCGTTCACACAGTGGATTATGTTAAATAACACTTAAACAAATATTGTTTTCGCAACTTCACTCATCATGTAATGTGTTTGAAGAATTTCATGTAATCAAAATTAACATACATTCATTGACTGCTAGTGTTTGTACGCGTTTACACCCTAGTCGCGCCTAAAGAAGTTTTACTTCAAACAACTTCTTAGATTTTCTGCAAAAGTATTAATGAAAATATCATTGTAATACAAATATCTGTAATACTTATTTTGCAGGATAGAAGAGGCTCGAATGGCCGCTAAACGATCAGCATTAGACCGTCGTGATCCATACCCTCCCGGTCACGACGATCGAAAGCGTCCAACTTTGGGCGAGCGCAGAATGGAACCACCACCACCACCACCGCGATTTGATCAAGTGTCCACCAATGTTGGGGGCCCGGGACAAAGTAGATCAGGGGCAGGAAATTACGGAGAATCTAGCGATTTAATGTCATCTAAAAAGCGAGACTACGGCGGAAAGCGCGATGACATACGAAAGAACGATGCTCGGGGCGCTGGTGGTGATTTTAAACGCGGCTCTGACTTTGATATAATGCCCAGGCACTCTAGTGGAAGTGGTGGACATATGATGCATCCCAGTAAGTCCGGTAATAATCATGCATCATGCTTTTTTTTTTCATATTTATTTCATATTTATTTGTTTTAATTTGCTATCAAAAAAACTAAAAATTTTAGTTTCATATTTATATTGCATGTATATTGAAAATCTTTAATTTATTTTAAATATCACTATTTTCAGGTCACTATTTTTTTTTTTGCAATCATTCTCTAAAACTCATGAAATGTTTTTCACAAAATTTTTTTTTCATATTTATAGTATAATAATACATAATTTCATTTTCTTGAATGTTCATATATTATTTTGATTTTTTGCATCTTGGGGTATGGTTTTTGGTTAGTTTTAACTTTTGTACTAATCATTCGACATTTTAAAACTTTTGACTGTTATCATTTTATTGTTTCATATATTTTGTAGATAAAACTGTTTCAGGTCATTCATCATCTCATCAAGGAAATCTTATGAAATATCCAGGCCAAAATTATGATGATCGTGGCAGGGATAACTCTGATATAAATTCAAGACAAGATTCAGGTTCTGGTGGACCTATGCAATCATCACGTTCAAAGGATTCTAGGTAATTAAAATTAATATCGTGCAATTTTAAGTAATACTTTATAATTTCGAACTCTTCCTTTTTAATTTTCTTTCTAACTACTCTTTCCTTTCTTTTTAACTTCTTCATATGGAGCAAGATATCTTTACTTGGCAATAAATATGAAAAATTAGATGTGAAGATGAAATTGCTCTTTTGAGCACTGGTTACAGTGTATAATATACTTTCTTGAATCGAGTTTAACTCACCATCAGTTAGAGCACATATATTGAGGTGCCATATAAAACTATTCATGAATACTTTTTACTTGTAGTCGTTATGCCGATCGTTCAGCCGATAGACCTTCCGATCGCGGATCAGGCATGTCTTACAGGGGTGGTGGAGGGGACAGAGATGCAGGCCGAAGACCTGTAGAGACTCCTGATCACAGATCTTCTTCAGGAGGAAAAATGGCAGTTCGCGGCAATAGCAGAGAACGCCGATATGTTGATAGTAGTATGAAAGGTACAGAGTGAATATGCAATATTCCTAGCAAATATGCCAATCTGACTAAAGTCAGTTTTACCAAATATAGAATTAAGTAATTAATTACTGAAATAATTTACTTGTGTAGATAATGGGCGTTATATAGATCGACCCAATTCATCATGGCACTCTGGGGGTGGATCATCTTCTTCAAAGCCTTATGGCAGTGGTGGGATGAGCTCTTCGGGGTCAGGCATGGGCTCTGGTCAGAATATGGTTACAAATAATCCATGGGCAAATGATTCTCGATCAAAACCTTCATCCCAAAATCAATCATCTACATGGCGCCAAGTGGACAATTCATCCTCAAATGACAGGTATGAAGAGAGATATGTCAGCATTTACAAACAAGGCCATCCGGTCAGCGGTATGGCTGGCAAGGGTAATGTAACTGTTAATACCTTCACCAGGGACTATCTCAGTAAGACGATGCCCCAGGCACGAAATAACAATGTTCAGAGACAAGTGTCGTCATACCAGAAAAGTAGTTATTATTAAGTTGTAGTTTATTTTTAATGAATTTTGTGTTCTATGTGAGTATAATTAATTGTATTTTAAATCTGAGATACATGCTTATTTAAATTCAAACTCTGTTTTCTTTGGTGAACTATAATATTGTTATACATGTCTTAATAATCTTTTGATGTTTATATTATGTTGTTCATCTAACCTTCAGTGCGTTTTTGGGAGATATCTTATACATTTTTTTGTGATATTGCTGCTGATAACATCACATTCTGCTATAAACTCTCATTTCATAAGTTGTAGAATTTATGGATATTAATGGAAGTTCTTAAACAGTACATTTTACATGCTATGACATTCATTCATCCTACATTGATACACCTGCTTATATATCTCCCAATGTCTTCAAACTTGTTAAAGCTTGTTCCATTTATTATGTTCGATATTTTCAAATTAATGAAATGTATTGTGAATTAATGAACATAGTAAATAAAATTCATTAAATTTGATTTTTATGCACAATTCTATTTCAATCATTCAAGTAAAAAGAACAAAGAACTAACAGGTACTTTGTATGTGTGTATACATACTTTGTATATATGTGTATAAACATACCTTAATATTTTTGTCTTAGTTGCAATGTTATTTAATATACTAATACAGTTTGATTTTGCGAGCTTTTATTACGCAAAATGTAGTACACATAGAGGAAACATATATGTTGATGTTAAAGTAAATGTAATTTATTCCACAAAGGCGATAAGATTCAATATTGACCTTCCGCTACATGCACACGGACTCTTAGTCTGCACGAATAATAAACTTTACCGTCATTCATTCCCAATGCATCGTCTTAAAAAAATTCTGAATATTATTCTTTTAGATGTTCAGATTGCCTTAAAAAAGATGTATCAAAAATAGATAATCACTTATATCCGTTTTTTAAATAAATATCCACATATACGATCCTATTCGTTAAAAATAAGTTTTACCCATGCGGACTAGCGGAAGGTTAAGATTTTATCATACAGCATTATTTGCACATCACATGAATACACAAGAATTTGCATGAATTCTAATCATTTTCAACAATAGTTTCTGTGATAAATTGTTCAAATTTAAGTATTCAGTGGTCGATACATTATTTTTCAAATTTAATTGAATAAAGTATTTTATAAGATAATTCTAACGCGGGGTTTAGTATTTCTTAGAAAAATTACTTGAAGTATATAGTCTTCATGTATTTAAACTATTATATATAATTTGAAACTTAGTGGTCCATTTCAACATGATATTAGCAGTTTGTCTTTTCCTAATCTCTGAATCTAATATTTGCCAGATATTTTTTGCTGCTCTTAATGCTATATTAATACTGCATTTTAATACCCTTAAATCCTATTTAAAATTTCCAATTGCGTAACGAATCATTTAAACAAACTTATTTTATCATACACAAAACTAATTTATAGTAGCAATATTTTTTTAGATGTAATTAGAACTTGTTTGTTTGTTTTTTGGGAGGTTTTTCATATAATTTTAGTGTATTGTTTGCATGTTTTGATAAATTATTCATATAAAATAATTAGAGCAAAGTAAATGCTAGTGGACCATAAAAGTGTACAATAAACACAATCCTAGTCATACTTTTTGTTTCAGATGGTCGCGTGCACCGTTATATCCACCTGGTGTTTCACCAAATTCCATTATGGGAAGTTCCAACACATATGGTGACAGATACAGTATGTCTTCAATAAGGAAATATTAAAAAATATATATAAGAGAATTAATTTATCGGGCTTACTCAGTTTATATAATTTAGTTTATTTCTTGTTATTTAAGTGTACAGTTAAACAGAGAGATTGAAGTTTTAGTGTAAGATATTAAACAGAATAAAAATAAGAATGTAAGAATATTCAATAAACCTAATATAAGAGACACTTTGTTATTAACTTCGAAGAAGTTAGTTTTTGCGGACTTGTTAATTTTGTTTTCTTAGTTCAAATCAATTCAAATTAATTTTGAATGATTTGAGAACAAAATTGCAACCAGTATGTGTGCATGTGTTTATGTAAGCGGTTTTCAAAAACCTGATGAAACTCGATAAAAAAAAAATCGCGTTGATTATGTTTGCGAGACTATCGGCCGAGCCGTTTCTTTAAATTTAGCAGAAAAGTGCAAGATTGAAAATTTAGAAACCAATAGCAAGATATCAGTTTGTACACGGACAGGGGTTTCTTTTTTAATTGTGGTGATTTTTTTATTATCTAAAAAATCATTAGCGTTTCTAATAATGAGCCGCGCTTTTTGAGGCATACAAGGGCGTGTTGTGCAGTACAATAATTATATCCCTATTTGAAAAACATCAATTTTGAAAATAACTTCGATTAACTCTTAAAAATTTATTTTCTAAATAAACAGTTGAAAATTGTATCTAAATAGCTAATTCTGAATTTTTATTAAGGTTATTATAAGTCCATGCAACTTGCCAAGGAAAATTGCTACTCCACTAACAACTACAGTTAAAAATAATTGGTGGAATCAAAAATATTTAATTAAATTTGGAACTTTAAATAATATAAAATAATGATACTTAAAAGAAATTTTATTTAAGAATTAATGCTTGCAGAATCGAGACTTTTACCACCTCTTCACTTTGTTGATTTTTTATTTCATTGTCCTTCAAATACATTATATGGCACAAAGTCAGTTGGAATAGGCCACACAGATTCTGTAATAATAATTACATATAATTTATATGCGAAGAAAATCCAAGAGGAAAATTATTACCTTCGAAAGACTTCGGAAAATCTATTATTTTATAGAGCCCTGCATGCTCTCTCAGTTCAGGAATATCGTCATGATCCAATAAAAATTCTATCAATACTATTTCTGGCAAAAATGAAGAACATTTTTCTGATACGGTACTAATTGCGTCTCTTAATTCTTCCTGGATAATGGATAAATAAATTTCTAAGTATTTTATAGTAAAATTGGGTGTTTGCTATTAATTGAATTTCTAGGATATTTCTTGAATCACTATTTACTGTATAATAGTTCGAAATTTTTATATTGTTTAATGGCGTTATACTGTAAATTATTTTGATATAAAATTTAATTATAATGAATAAAGTATTAAAACTTTTACTTTAGAAAAACCACTATGTAAGTAATTATTTATCTAATTCTATCAAAAAAATGTTTGTTTGTTATAAAGTAAACACTGATACATACCAATCATAACACTAGGTGTAAATAACATTTTACTTGAAAAAGAAAAGTTAGTTGCACGAATGTCCCGATGTGTATAAAAACTTGATTTACTTGATCAATATATCATATAATTTCGATATTTCGATCTACTATCAACTTACTGCAGACTTTTCGAGACATTCCCGAAAATATCCAGCTAGATTGTACATTTTCGAAAATACGGTCAGGACGTGATTTCCAAGTTGTTCTGTATCGCAGGAAGGATTTGGTTTTGCGATAAGTGTAGGTGGTCTACCGGCAACTGATATCCATCGTGGAAAAAATCGCTAAAAAATATATTATTTATGGAATTAACTTGTTATGAATTAGAGTATTTATGGGGATGACCGTCCATTAATCACGTACTGGATTTTTAGGGATTTTTGACCCTCCCTTCCGATTAGTGATACGTGGTGTTATTTAGAATTGCCCTCACTCCACTAACGAACATATAACGTCACTCAATAAGTCCGTAGGATAACACATAGATGATGTAGCTATGTAATAATCCATAAGATTTGTAGGAGGCAACAACTTTAGGAAGATATATGTCCAAATTTCATGACAATCCGACGATTAGTTTACAAGTTACGGAGGTTCAAGTGACGCTACTTTAGATTTTTTCGAAACCCTGAATTCAAAGCAATTTCGTGGGATTCATCATTGCTTTTTGATGGGTAACAATACCATTGCTGCAAAAGTATCGCTTGATAAGTGTTATCTGGACTGTCCCAAATCGAGACGAATGGTGGAGAAGTCGTTTGCTGATTTTATTCCATACAGACATTGACGATGCTGAACGTTCTGGAAGGTCAATAGAGGTGGTTACACTGGAAAATACCAAAAAAGTCTACCGAAACGTTTTGGAAAACCGAAAAGTAAAAAGTCTGATATAGCTGACACCCTTCAGATATGAATGGAACCTGTTGGACATATCGTTCACAAATATTTGAATATGAAAAACCTCTGTGCTAAATGAGTGCCGCACAAACTCACATTTGACCAAAAGTATTACGTGTTGATGTTTCGTAAGAGTATTTGGAGCTGTTTAATCGAGTTTTTGCATCAATATGTCACCATGGATATGACCTGGCTTCAACACTATATTCCGGAGTCAAATAGACAGCTAGCCGAGTGGACTAGACACGACGACCAAAAAAATGCAAACAATCAGCTGGTAAGGTTACGGCATCAGCTTTTTTGGGATTCACAATTAATGATCTTCTTCAACTATCTTGCGAAAGGCTGGACCATCAACAGTGGCTATTGTATAACGTTATTGAAACATTTGAAGATCAAAATCGTAAAAATACCCCATTTGAGAAAGAAAACCGTGCTGCTCCATCAGGATAACTCACCAAGTCACAAATTCGTACTAACAGTGGCCAAAAAAACATGAATTAGGCTCCGAATCGCTTTTCCACTCACTATATTCTCTAGATTCCCTAGCGACCATATCCAGTTCTCAGATCTCAAAAGGATGCTCGCTCTGAAGAAATTTTTGCCAAATTATGAGACGATGGCCGAATTTTGTGCTAAGTACAAATCGTACTACAAAAATGGTTTCGAAAAGTTCGAAGGTCGCTATAATTGGTATATCGTTTTCGAAGAAAACTATATTGAATAAGAAAAAAGAATTTTAACAAAAAAATGAGTTTTTCTTAGTTATTCTACGAACTTATTGAGTGAAGTGATAATACGTATTTTAGCACCTAAAAAATTCCGAAATTTTTGGAATTTTTTTAAGTGTTTTTTTTTAAATACAGGTTAAAAACAAATACACGTTATATTTTACTATACCCCTTCACGTGATATTTCATGTTTGTTTTGTCAACCTCCCTTGCCAAGAAAAATTAGGTGGCGAAACACTGCGAACGTTGGAAACTATTGAATTAAATATTTATTGTTGCCAAGCAAAATCATTACAACGAAATTCCTAGATGCAACAAAAGCTATGATACTTACAATTAGTGTAATAATTAATTATGTACAAATATCCTTTATTAACCTGTGTTATATGGTGATAGAACATTAGGATCTTGGCCTTTCCAATAAACTCACTTTTCTCATTCGTCTTCATCAGCAGTTCCAAGTGTTTTGTTATTCCTTCTTCGCTTCCCTTTCACAAGGAATATATTATTTGAATAATTTCTTGCTTCCTTAACGTACAAAACTTTATCATTGTCATATTCTATTTTTTGTGTTATTTTACCTCAACCATATGCACAAAGTGGTTTTCATAGTGCAGAAACAGACCGGTCAAAACGTCGTCGTTGTAGCCTCTGTTGAAGGCATCAATAGTTTCTTCGACTAATTCTTTCAGTTTCTTTCGATCATCGGTTAAGAAGTGCTCTGCGGCGTAAAACATTCGATGTAAAGGAGTATTCTGGAAAATAAATTAAATTTAATGAATTTGCCTAAAATATTATTTATAAATGCAACTTAATTATATGTAATGGGTGACATTGGATTTTTATATGAACCTAAGCAAAAGAATTCTTTGCAGTTTTCTCCATTCATCGTAGATACGTTATATTTTAGTATGTTCTTTACCACTATGAAATAAATCTACCATCCCAAAGTTTCATCAAAATCGTCAAAAACATTTTCAACAATAAATGACTGATCTTCATCAAAAGCTAATCACCACGACTTCCACCATATTTTTAGAACAGTCTTTAGATTCTTATGCTTATAATTCGGTTCGGGATTTTTGAATAAAACGTGGGCAAAAATATTTACCCTTTTTTTGCTATTTAAGGAGAAAGAGCGATTGAGTCACATCGAATGACTTTTAAATTTTTGGAATTGGTTCAGCCGGTTTTGAGAAAACTGGTCAAATTTTGGCTCACATACATGTACACTCATACACAGACATTTTTTTTCATTTTTTTTTCAAGAGAAAATAAGCTAAGAGCGAGTCTGATTTTCTGGCGAAAACATGAACTTCTCCTTCGAAAAATTATTTAGTTATTATTCTTTCGAAATATGAGGTGTACATTAGACTCTAAATAAAGAATTTAAATATAATAATTTTATATATCTTATTTTGAATTATGTAATTATATACTATAGAAGTTAAACATTTGATATAAGATTATTTAAAAATTATCATATTATAAAAAAACTTGTACAAACCCGTTGGGCCTCTGTCAAGTTTTCCAAAACCACATTATACAGTGATCTTCTATTTTTACTAATGTCTGTTTGCATCTTAATATAAATTTACAAAAATATTTTAAAACAAATGTGATGAAATTCAGGAATCGATCACATATAAGTGTTGTCAATTGTTATTTATTTGATAATGGCCGAATATATTTTCCGTTTCCATGACACCATATTATGATCGTTATGGAATACAATTTAATTTTGTTTCCAATCGAAATGCATTACTTATTTATTTTGTAAAGAAAAATGATTCGAAAAATCATTTTCACGTTTATTTGTTCATCGCAGAAACGATAACGCTTAATCATTAATTTCCGATATTTTCTTGAAACCTTGGAACCAATAGATAAAATCTATTTACTTTTAAACAACATAATTACCTACTTTAGGTTTCAAATAAATGGAAGAAATGGCATGATTTTTATATTTG